GGCCCCCAAGAGGGCCCCAAGATGGCCCAAGAGGGCTCGAAGACGGCCCAAGAAGCCTCCAAGACGGTCCAAAAGGGCCCCAAGAACGCCCCCAAAGGGGCCCCAGAGAGGGAACACGAAACAACATTTCGAGCCCTCGGCCCTAAGAAGCCCCCACGAGGCCCCAAGAGGCCCCTAAGAGGCCCCAAGAGGCCCCCACGAGGCCCTCAGGAGGCCCCCAAGAGTCCCCCAAGCGGCCCCAGGAGGCCCCCCAAATGCCCCCCCGAGCACGCAAGCAAGTGCAAGCGATGCTACAATGTGCTCTCCTTTCGGTAGACTCCCAACGGGGCCCCTACAGACTTGCAACAAGCGTCAAGAACCTGCCCAAAAAGCACTGTCCAGGAGCGTTCACAAGTGCCGCGAAGAAGCCCTCCTTACGCCGGAAAGCCCGGAAAGCCGGGTGGGGTGAGCTGTTCTTCTCACCACCGCGCCCTCTCACACAATGGCTTCCGCACGCCGCCCAGAGCGCGACGTTCGGCTCAGGCCCCCAGAACCTCCAGGAGCGCGCCAAAACGGCACCGGAACGCCCCCCAAACAATCCAAGCGGCCTCAAGTCGCCGAACAATCGTTCCAAATCGCCCATGATGACTTCAAAATTGCCGTCGAGGCCGCCAAGAAGCCCCAAGAGAGCCTCAAGAGGCCCTCCAAGGCGGCCATTACAATAAAAAATCGTCCCATTCCCAGAGGAACATGTACACTTCCCGCATGAACGGCGTTTCGAGTTTCACAGCGCCTCAAACTACGCAAATAGCCCCCAACATCGCCCCGAGACAGCCCAACAATCCGCTAAAATCGGCCCAAGACGGCCCAAGATAACCCCAAGACGGCACAAGAGAGCACCAAGACCGCCCAAGAGGCGCCCAAAGGGGGATTCTGCCCCTCGGAGCACCTCAGAAGCCACCAACATCCCGCCAATAAGTCCCCCAAGACGCCCCAAGAACCACCCAAGAAGCCCAACGAGAAGCCCCAACGACCCCCAAACGGCCCTTACGGGGCCTCAAGAGGCTTCAACACTGCCTCCAAGAGGTTCCCGAGACGCCTGGCAAAAGAACCCCCAAAGCGCCGCATTGACACCAAGCCCTCGGGCAAACGGCAGACATGAGACTGTATGGGCCGGCGGAATGAGCGAAGCGATTAAATAACTTTGTCACAACGTATCTAACTCAATCACAACGGTTGCGAACCCTCGACGGAATTAGTAACCAAAAATGTAGAAATTGTAAGTTGCGAAAGAGTTATGTTGCCACCAAAACACACACACACACACTTACATACCCGTGTGCGCATACACACATATGTACATACTGAGATGCGGTACGATCCGCGAACTTATCTTAACATGCGTAAGTACGTGTGTGTACCAATTGTGTACATATGACACACCTAGATGTACATACATAGATGATCATACAAACAGATCCGTATGCATCGCTTGCACTTTGTGACGCGTCGACTCGTACTACACATTATATACATATGCGTGTATACATGCACACGAGAGCATACAGTAAGAATGTTCGCCTGTCAGTACGTGTCTCGGCATCGTCATTTCGAAATCGCATTGCGCAGTCGTTCTTGCATTCGCACCCGCAGTTCGCATGTGCAATCAAGCCTTGCACGTCGCGTTCCGTAGCTTGGTTTGGTTGTTATTTGTGTTGCAGCTTATATTAGCGGAGCTCGCCTATCTGGAGTTGTGCGTTCGCTTATCTGAAGCTTTTTGTATGTATAGGTTATGTACTCTGAAGTGAAGGCCATAGAAGTGACCGAGAACTCAAGGCGATCTGCGACGAGAACGACGCTGATGCGAGCAACGAGTCATCAGGCAATGTGGAGCTCAAGGACCGCATCTTCGAAGTGTGCCAGATATATGAGCAATCGCACAAGCAAGTGTTCCTTTTCAAACAAGTTGGGGCCAAGCAGAACAATCGCGGAGGCGAGGGCGCCAGGTTTCTCGTTGGCCGCCATCCAGCATAATGCAGTGGCTGGCGAGGACAAGCCGCGCGCCAAAGAGCACGCGAAGTGCACGGCAAAACATTGCGCTACACACGCGTGTTTCGCGAAGTACAAGAAGGACGAGATCCGGATGGGGGCGCGGGGTGCAACTCATACTTTACATGGGCTTGCATGCGACCACGACCGCGTCAAGAGCGAGGGCGAGAATCTGAAGAAGGATGGCCTCATGAACGCCGACGTCGCGCGCAACCGAAACAGGAGTGGCTTGCTCAGGGGAAGATCGTGAATGGCGTCAAATTTACTGTCCCGGAGTGGGTCGT